AAATTTGCAATAAAATTTAGTTTCGTTTTTATTAGTTTCATTAATAATTTTGTTAGTTTTAGTTTAGTTTTTATTTTGGGAACACATTTCTATTTAGTTTTTATATAGTGTAGTTTCAGTTTTAGTTATAGTTTTAGTAATTAAAGTTTATTAGATTTAACAGATTGAAGACAGTCGGTTCCCTTCAGAGATACATTCATATAAAACACCCGCGCCGTGTTATGATTTTGAAACGTGCCGTGCTCATGTTTATTCAACAAAGTCAAACAGCACAAATAAATAAATGTAGGCCTATGGGAAACTGGTAATGTATATCGAAATATCGGAAATGTGTTTAAAAATCATATCACCGTTATTGAAAAAAATAATATCGCGATACATATTGATATTGAATTATTGTCCAGCCCTATGCTAAACTCTCCGAGAGTTGTCAAGGCAGAAATGACGTTTAACGAGAAAGACGCTATTTTTTAATAGTCAAGTTTTTGTCACCATTTCTGAACAAGCTTATGATTAGGCATTATACACAACAATGTTCTACAACGAGCCGTCACCGACGGTCCAGAGACACAAAGCTAACGGTGTGCTGAGCAGTTTCTTACAGCGCTTTGTGTTTTCTGTTTTCTTCTCGGCTCAGAGCTGCGCTGACCTGCAGAATGAATGAACAGCTATCTTTCCTTAGTCAATGCTGTCTGGATTTCATCTGATTCTCATTCTGGTGGTCATATTATGAGAACTCAGTTTCACTGATACTTTAGATCAAAGTAATTCTAAACTTCGCGAGGCAGACGACGACATATCAACTTGTTAACACACTCCACAGCGCCACCCACTGCATTTAGTTATAACTGACTTTTAGTTTGAGTGCTCAGGATTTATCATGGATTCCCTGCATTTATGGCCAGCAAAGCAACACGTCGTAAAATTCTAATAGTGTTTTCATTTTTCGAATAGGGCTGGGTGATATAATACAATTTAATGTTTCATATCATTCGGTATCGATAATTATTGAGCATTTTTTATAGTCTTTCTTAAACAAAGAGCAGTATAAAAAAGTTTTAAATTTAACCACTGTATTTTTAATTGACCAAATTAATTAAGACAAACACCAAATTATTTTAGTTTTAACAGTCAAACACAAAATACAATTGAAACAAATATCTCCTTTCTTTTATTTTAGATGCAGATTAAACAAGTGTAAAGGAAACATTTGTCTTGTCTCCTGAGGCCACAGGAGGGCGCAATGAGCAAAATAATGCACCTCATTAAACTGTTTATTCAATGTAATGAAATAACGGCTGTCTATAAAAGTGCATACCGTCTAAACTAATATTTATAAATCAAATATGATTTCGTAAATTGCATAAACAATATGAACAAAACAGCATCATATATTTATGCATAGCTTAATACAAATAGCCAAAGCATATGAGACGCAGTGGAATGGAATAAAAAAATGTTTCTATCGTTATCGATGATGGTGTATCATCGATAATTATCAATACCGTTTTATCGCCCAGGCCTATTTTCGAATAATAATTACAGATCAAATATTAGAATATTTGACTATTTGTGCACACCCCTAGAGGAAACACACTGGAGAACATGCAAACTCCACACAGTAAGGCTTCTCCGCTCAGCCATGACTCGAACCAGGGACCTCCATGTGCCGCAGTGAAGGTCATGCATCCTGTACCTCACCAGTATCTAAAACTAAGCTTGCGTAACCAAACACATTTGCATTCTCATGTGTAGAAGAATGAGTTTTGAGTTTCACCCATCTTGTCCAGTAGATCACTTTAAGTAAACTATGTCAGCATTCATGTGTCCAATCAAACTTGACTTACCGAGGTGTTCCCTGAGGCTTTCAGTGACGGCCACCTGCTGTCTGAGGGAGTCCAGCGATGCCCGAAGGCTCGGGAGCTCTTCGCTCAGTTCAGAGCCCAGAACGCCCCGCAGATCCCTCAGTTCACGCTGAACGCTGCAGATCCGCACTCGCTGCTCCTCCACAGACCTCTGCCACACAAACACAGAGCATACAGCAAAATCTGACAGTTACCTAACAAGAACTATGTGCCCATCCATGCATTTGGCAAATAAATATATAAAAATGTGAATAAAACCATTTGCGCACAATTGAGGCAGATAATTTTGTATCCAATAAGAAGTCAAGCACACAAACTATTATAGAAACACATTTACAGAGTAAATTCCTCAATGTGCAACAAAAACCTCATGTGACACTGCCTGAACAGATCATATGATTGGATAACTGGACTAACTAGTGGACAGATCTCTTTGCACATCATCTTAAATTGTGTTTTAGTCAAAAACAGGCACAAATTGTGCCTGAGCCAGTCTGTCATCAAAATGATTTGGTATGATTACCTGGCAGAACTGTCTCACACGATTGTTTCCCCAAATATCAGGCATTCGAACGCAACAGCATTTGTTTCGCAAGTAATTTATTATATAGGAAAAAAGAAGTTCAATGGCTTCCTCGGTTGCAGCAACTTCCATTTCTATTACTGATCATTTGCGCCGGTTTCCTCAGGAAACTGAACACGTGAGATGGAATCAGTGTTGGGTGCAACGCGTTACTGTAATTAAATTATTTATCCACTGAAAAAGTAAAGTAAGGGATTACTGTTCATTTTTAGGTAATTTAATTAGTTACTTATAAAGTACTTGCGTTACATACTGTAAATAATTTCAACAGTTCTAAAATCAATATTATATAAAATCAATATAAAATATAATCTAAATTTACAGTCTAAAGATAAAATTGAATGCAGCGTCTTTAACCCTCTGCGCGCCAGTGTGTTCACTTTCAGTTTTTCCTGATTCACAGAGAAACCTTAAATATTCAGATAAGACTAAAATCAATCGAATCTAAAAAAGGGCCTACTTTTATTTGTGTACACTGACAATAACAACAAAACACTGTGCTTTTGTAAAATAAACAAAACAAACAGGGTGCGCTTTCTGCCGTCTAGGTCTCCGTGAGCAACTTTCTGCGCATCACAAACTCAGCGAATACTTGACACAGAGACATGAGAAATATGTCTATAGAAAGCTTGAAGTGTCTACTTTTAAATTAACGAATTCAAATCGAAAACGAATATTATCTGATTATGTAATCCGTATGAAACTAAAGCGAGGTACAGTCTTTCCCGTATCTGAGCTCATTATATGCAGTCACCTGCTCGCAAACGCCCTCACCTAGATACAAAAAATAGATTTAAAAAAAAATCAAGATTCATCTAATTTTCATTGTTTTTGAAAGAAGACCTGCTATAGCCGCGTTTTCACCGCAGGAACTTTCCCCAGGAACTAGGGACTTCGGGCCGGTACTCGGTGTGTTTCCACCGCAGGAACCAGGATCTAAATAAAGTTCCAGGTAAAAACATTGCCCCTCAGAAAGTCCCTGCTCGCAAGGTAGTACTTTTTCAAAGGTCTGAAACTTTCGGGGGCGGGACTTGAGCGCTGAACATGCTGATTGGTTGAGTTCACGCAGCATTGTATTTCAACCACCATTTGCATATCTTTTTTTAAATATTACTGTTATTGTGTCATGAAATGTAGTTTTAAAAGTATTTCAGGCGAGAATGTAGTTGTTTAAAACTCAAATCTGCGGTTTATTTATAAAAACAGCGCCTATTTAAAAATGTGCGTCGCTGATTTCGGAGACGGGAGCTCCACGCGATCAGCCGGCGCTCAGTGCTCATGTTTCCCGACGAGAGCAGCCTTAACTCGGCTAGTCCTTCTGACATGTGCCGCTGGCTCTGATGTCTCTGTAGTGGATAAACATAAGATATAATTCGTTTTGGGTAAATCTTAACAGGTGATCTTTGGTCTTTATTCTATTAATCTATTAATATGTTAAAATTCAAATGAAAACAGGCAATGTTTGATATAATATTTCGTTTCATTGTAATGTAGGCCATGTACGTTCCCTGAACATTTCTGCAGCTATTATTATGTTTAAATGAAAATGAAAAGGGGCAGTGGTGTTTGATATATTTCGTCTTATTGTAAATACAGTGAGGAAAATGGCAGTAGCCAAGGTGAGCTGACTGATGTTATCAAGTAGGCTGCTGTTTGCAGAATTACCGGACTTGCGTCGTCCCGTCCGCGCGAGCTCACACTCCTGAGTCTAACTCGCGAAGTCCGAACTACCGCGGATGCAAGTCCGAAATTTGCGTACTTGGTATTGAAACGTGCGCAGACCTACGTCACCAGACTATTTGCCTATTCTTCTCGGTACTTTAGACCGCGATGGAAATGCAGACTATGTTGAATAAGCCGGAATTTACCTCAGAAGAACAGCGCGATCTGACGCGGCTTTACTCAGCGAAGGAGATCATTTCTGCAATTTATTCTTACCTACATTAGTTAACATGTTATTTTTACATAAACCTGTACAGATTTTACTAGTTGGGCTTTTCCTGAACATCTTGCCAAACATATACATATACAAACATATGATAAATGTATTGTTTATGTGTTTTTTGAACCTTAAACCGCATAAACACATTTCATTACACCAAATACACCAAATAATGTTTTTTAGCAGCATCATATGACCCCTTTAAGCTTTTTTGTTATTCAGATATTTTGCAGAGTATTTCTATTTGTTAACCAAAGAAGGTTAAATTTTTTATAAAGTATTACAGTTGTTTTAAAGCTAAAAGGCTAAACTATTCTATGTTTGAGTCAAATTGAAAGAATAAAGAGTTTAATTTCTACTGTCTATGCTTTAAGAGGTTTATAGGGATTTTAAGATTTAGCCTAATTAGCGATTTGAATAATTAAATTACTTATTGAGTAATTAAATTATTTTTCAGACAGAGTAATTAGTAAAGAAATTTAAATACAATATTGATGATGTAATTAGTAACAGTAACTAATTACTTTTTGAAAGTAACTTACCCAACACTGGATGGAATCAGTGATATATGTGATATTCAATTTTTTCGTAAAAGTTAAATGCGCAACTTTGGATGGAAACAGAGCTAATGACACATACACCAAAACAGCTTTCTACACAGCTTTGTACAGTAGGTGAATTTAAATATTCGAGCTAGTCAAGCTATTAAAACTTTTAATCACGGCGCCACTACGACCACATAAATACTGGCAATAATGAATGAATGTACACTGATTGGTGATTATATGATATATCAATTATATTTACACTTTAGTGAAAATTATTGTTGCTATATGTTCAAAAACAAGTCAACGGTTCCTTTAACTTGGTATTATGAGGGTTTATGAAAAAGACATTGTTTCTAAAATTACAGGGCAATTAGCTGTGTTTTTATACTGACTAGTCTGACAAAGTGTTTCCTTACCTGTAAGGTAGTAAGTGTGCTGTCACACAAGGTGATGTCCCGGTCCAGATTGCTGACCACAAAACTTTTGTCCTTCAGCGCCCCCTGCTGGACTAACATATCCTGCTGCAGCTGCTCCACCTACCATTTGTGTGTTACATAGAGCATTTTTATTTAGGCAAATCTATTCAGCATCCGAGAACACAGCAATCCCTTTTGTTATAATTTTATGTACTTTTGGAAATAGTGTTTTATGAGCCAGAATTTCTCCATGATTTATTTTCGTATTTTACAAAGAGCCAGTTTCATACCTGTGTCACAAGTTTGGTGTTACTTTCCAGAACCAGCCGAACATGGGAACTGAACTCTGTGTTTTCATGAACTTGCACTTTCCCTCTTTTATCCTGGAGGAAAGACAGAGTTCAAAGGCTGAGATCTGCAAGTGCATTACAGCTCCAGGCAAACGGAAACATTCACTGAACGGCAGCTCGTTAAACAGCGATACAAAAGACACTTTCACTTGGTTCTGTGTTAAATTATACTGTTTTCTTACTCTGAATGTGCAGCCATAGTTTTTATAAATGCAGTCAGTCTCCACTTCAAGACACTCGTCAGCATGAGCTTGCAGCTGCAATGAGGATCAACAAGCAGCCATGAGCAAATTAAAATATCTGTAGCTGTTCATGGAGCGGTTTAAGGAGCCATGTTGATGGAAAAATATGAGATGGGAGAAAAATTTATCTTTTAATGCTCGCAAAACTTTTGCCTTACCCCGTGAACTGTTAATTAGCTCAGAAATCTTTCACGTTCTTTCCAAACTTTGACAATGCAAAACTGGTGATGGACATAATATGAGGTGGGAGGAGAAACTAGATTTTAGTGCTTCTGCAAGTTTCTTGGAGGAATGCAATTGTTTTGCAAGCAAACGCATTGAAATATAACTTTTCCATCAGCAGGTAGGGTTTCCCATAGCTTTTAAACTTTAAAATTTCCCATTCGCTTGCACAGCTTTGCGTTCTCTCTCAAAACTGTTGTGCTTTACCTGTAAAAAGGGACATTGTGATGATTAAAAATCAGATGGGAGGAAAAATATTTCAATGCTTTGAGTTCTCGTCTCTCTTTGCGTTTCCCCGAGAAATGTTGGGTTTGCTCACAAAACTTTTGTAATGGAAATAATATGAGGTGGGAACATAAATTAGGCCTATATTTTGCTTTTGCAAGAGAATGCAAAGTTTCATAGGGGAACCGAACGTGATACTTAAACGCATTAAAATATTATTTGCTGTGGCATATTTTTTCCATCATTGTGTCTCCTTAGGTGCTCCATATTAATCTGAAGAAGCAGGACAATGTTCATTAGAACAGAACTTTCTTAAAGTGGAGTGAAGTATCTGACTGTGCCAGACCTTGTGTCTTCTGATCATCTGAGGACACTTGTTGGGACATGGGTCTTGGATTTCAGGGCATGAGGTCTTCTGATGGGCCTGTCGTAGTGTAGAGGCAAGATTAGGAACAAACACAGCTCAGATGACTAGGGGAAGCGCTCTGACCTGCAGGTGAGATGCGAGGAACGGCTGTCTGCAGTGGTGGCAGGACTCCAGCCGGAAGGAGCAGACCTTCCTCTGATGGTCCAGCAGGTTTTTGCGTAACACGGTGTCGTTGCACCCGGAGTTGGAACATCTAAGCCGCTCATACTGGCAAGCCTTCAGATGACCCTGAGAAAGAGAGGTCGTACTGTGAATACTCAGCTCTGAATGATGGAAACAGATGCTTTTTTAATCATCAATGACATGTTTCGCCCTTTACCTGAAGGTTGCATAAAGTAATCCTCTGTGCGCAGTCTGGTGCGTTGGTACAGTAGACCTCTAAGTTTAGCAGTTCTCTTTTACAGCAGTTGTCTTGAAAAATCTGCAAGCATTGGAATTGCTATTCAGTAGAATATAATGGCAAATAAAGCTACACTTCCGATAAGTGCACATAAATATGCATTTAAAATGTTAATATTCTCACCTCTTCTGATTTTATAGGGATGCTGTCTAAAGGACATTTCGAACTTCCTCCATTTTCACTGAAAAGAGGAAGGTTTACACATTGCCAAGTCATTTTAGATGCATTTGCATGCAATGCACTTTCAGCAGAAAATTGTTTATCTTTGCTGATATAAAACAAATTGTATAATTTATTTAAGCAATGACTAGCTCTTACATGTATGCCCTCACACACCGAGCGCAGAAGATGTGCCCGCAGCCCGTCTGGTGAGGGTTCAGGACGATCCCGCCGCAGGACGGGCAAACGAACTGCTGCTCTAAGCGCAACACGAAGCGCAGCATGCGATTGGTCAGAATGGCTTCCAGCTCCCATGACCTCATGAGCTCAGAGTCCTGCCGGGACACGCACTCGTTCTCCTCTGCGGCCATGAAGTCTGACACAGAAACTGACATGAGAAAACATTTTAAAATCCTCCAATAACACCTGGAACAAATATTACAAAGAAGCAATAAGGGTTCAATTAAGCATTTATATCATTCTTGTGCTCCAAGTTCAATATATTTTAATACTTGCATTCACAATTTCACATTTTTCTGGCTATTACAAGTTAGGATAGAGATAACCTGGTACTAGGGATGTAACGATTCACTCAACTCACGATTCGATTCACGATTTTATTTTATTTTTTACAAAATGAGATTTAAGACAAATTATAAATTAAATGTGTCCTTTTATTATTGCTTGGACAAAATGCTGCACATTTCTTTGTGAAATTGAAATATAACACTATAATAATATACTAATATAGCACTTGCATATTATTG